TAAGTAGTTATATTTATCATCTTATTAAGAAAAAAATAGAAGTGGCAGTGTCAAAAATATCTCGAACCTCTCTTAACATAACAAATTAATACAATTATTTTTTTTTCATTTTTTGGGTAGGTAGTTTATAGCTGGTTTATAGTAACCAGAAACTTTATTAATATACCTATTTTACTTTTGTTTTAGGATTAAAACTGGACTTGAAAATGGTTCAGGATCATGATTCTCGTAAAGTCTTCTTTGCTTGGATATTCACCTTGTTATTGCAATTAGGCAGTTTTTTCGAAAATGAGATTTTTAATGCCCTTTAAAAAAATTGGCCGATCGTTTCCTGCAATAGTCAGTTCTTCTGCAATTAAAATTGGTAGGTGGGTGGAATAAACACTGTCATTTTTGTTATTATATTATAAAAAGTTTATTTATTTTTATGTATAAATAAATATGTTTATAAAACAGTACAATTTTTGCTTTTTTTATAACTTCCCTTATAATAGTAGTATTCTTTCGTTCTGAAAGAAACTGCAAATTTTCACTTAAACTGATTTATTCCCTACACCACGTTCCCTTTACGTGGTATAGGGAGTAAATCAGTTTAAGTGAAAATTTTCAGTTTCAGAATGAAAGAATACTACTAATAATAAAGGCTAATTTAAATTTTCCGCCAGCCAGAATGTGCGATAATGTCTTACGATACGTTTTATACCTATCTCTTTCTTTTTCATATAAAGCACACATAATAAAGAAAGATAGCAATAAAGACGTACGTCCTGCCATGGTCCTGCTAATTGGTTTCAAAATTGTTATTCTGAGTTGCGCTACGGGAACGCGGTCCCACTCTTTACCATGAGATTTGTCAGTCTCTTTTGTCGAACTATCTCAATCATTTGCCAACCAGATGAAAGAGATTGGTGACGTCACTACGGCATTTCGTAAATTACTGCATATTCTTTTTAGTAATTGTCATTGTCATTTGATTTGGGGTTATAATTTTATTGACAAATATTATTTCATATAGCTCTTTCAACGGTAAAATACGAAAGAAAAATAATTGGGTGGCAACTGTGTTAATTGAAATTAATTAAAAACAAAATCTATACTTCTATACAGGATATTCGCTATAAAAACATACACTGAAAATTATTAAAGGGTTAATACATAATAAATAAAATTAGGGATGTATCTTGTCGTGTCCAATCTGTAAACGTATTTTATCGACACTTCAGAAAACGAAAGAAGAGACAAACTTAGATGCTTGCAGGAAATTTTACGATGCAGTAAACTTAGGACCTGGAAGTTTTCTTTCATCGTCACCTAAATTTATGATGGGAACTTTGAAATTTACGACTAGGACGTACTCTATATAGTTTAATCCTCTAATATTAGCCTTTAAATTTTAACGTCTCGTACGCTGGCTATCTTTAGCCTAATTTTTGGACATTTTGTTGCGTTTTTAATGAAGAAAATTTGGTTTAGGGTCGTGTTACATGATTTACTTTTAAGCAGTTTTATTAAATTCATATTAGATTAGAAAGGTTTATATACAGGGTTGCGCCTCTCATACGCCGCGGAAGCTCCAAGGAGAACGGTAGTTTATATCGAAATAAAATTTTGGCAGCATATGTAGGTTAACTGAAAGCATTTTATAAAAATATATAGAATTATACAGGGTGTCCCCAAAAAAAGTTACACATCAAATTCGTGTTTTTTCTAATGGAACACCCTATATATTAATTGTTTTTCGGATTCTAGGAAAAAAATAAAGGTGTGTTTTATTAAAGAAGCATATACCTAAATCCTTAGATTTTAGACATATTTCACATTTTGTGAAAATAATAAAGAGTAAATTATAAATTTCGATAACAGCTACCTAAATTTTAGCTGACCTTGTATAGAATGATATTTAATTACAGTAACCATTGTATGTTAAACCAAATTGAAATTTGACCCAAAAAGAAAAGTTATACGGGGTGAGACAAAATTAATATGGAACATTAGTCACTTTTAAAAGCAAGTTACTCCTTTATTTTAAATGGAACACCAAGTATATTTTTCCGGTGTTCAATGGGGAATTTATATATCTTCAAAATAGTATTAAGGTTTCCTACCCCTCAGACAAAGATTTTCCCAGATATTTTATTTTTTATAATTTTGCGTCAGTAAATCTGTATTATTTGAAAAAATCTAGGTGGCTATGTGATATGCCTTTTGTTAATTTAACAAAAAATAAAGATTGTAGAGTAAAATACTCAAGGGTAATAAAAAGATACACGTTTAAAACATATTTTAATTATTACAGAATTAAAACTAGATATAAACCTATAATTATGCGAGCAAAATTAGCTAGATGAAATCAAATTCTCAAAATGCTTCCTTTCCTGTTAACTGCATAAAATCATTGTCTTTTCAAAAGGATCTTTTCATTTTAAAAGGCATATGTGGATTTCTACTTCGAAAAGCGTTGTATAACTCATATGATACTACAAAATAAAAATAACTATTTCATTTTGTAGATTTTCTTACAGTGCAAATGTAATGTAAAAGAAATATAAAAATGTTTGCATTTTGATGTTCAATTATTGTCCCGTGGTCAGGATATCAGAATAATACCCTTTTCTTATCACCACCATCACCTTTAATGGGAATAACTCAACTCTGTCTAACCAAAAAGGAACAAATTGATAAGAGATAATGCTGGAAGATTTGAGCGAACTGCTAGCTGCTATATTCTTATCTGATCCCGTAAAATGGTCAGAAAGGCTTTTTATGCGTTCTCCGTTAAGTATATAGCGATCCAATAGTTGATAGAACGTTTCCAATTTTCGGAGATTTAACCTCATCAGGAATCGGTTGGTATAGACATTTTTAGAGAAGGCATGAAAAAAGAAGCGTTTAAAAATATTGAACATGATTATTGGAACAGTGTCTGAAAAGAATTTTAGATAGTAGGCTAGAAATAGGTAGGAGTAATACATATACAGGGTTGTTCACCACATACGACACGGAGTATTGTAGCTAAACGATTATATTTTTACAAATTTCAAGTTTTGGGTTCGATGAAGGACTATTAGAGGTACAATTTAAAAATAATTTACAAGATACAGAATGTCCCAAATAAGTAAAAAATATCAAAGTTGTATTTTTTTAAACGGAACACCCTGTATATTATTACATTTTTAGTTTCTACGATTAAAATAAAGGTAAATTTGATTAAGGTTTATTACACTTAAACCTTACCGTTTTTGAAATATTTTCAATTTTGTGAAATTGCAGTAAAAATTTTAAGGCTTCATTTCTCCAAGGGTATCAAAGTTTTTAATACTAAATATTTACTGAAGTTTATTTATTGATCAGTTATTGTGTTGCAATAATAAAAATAATACTACCTTATACAGAGTGTCTAAAAATTTATTTTAAATAATTTATAGCTTTAAACGCCAATAACTTGTTTAATTGTCTATCAAATTGTATTACACCATTTTTTAAAAAAAAAAATTTTAAATTAATCCTTGAAATTTCCTACAGGAAAAGTATTTGGTTTCTTTAGTGATTTATCTACTTTAAGCATTGACGACATTACCGATAAGTCCAGACATTTAATAACCTGTTATCCAAATGATTTAGATGAGTCAATGTCTAATGAATTAATACATTTTTTGTGAATTTATAAAATGCATTAAGTCAGCAAAACCATCTTAGAAAACTTCTTAAAGTAATTTATTAAAAAAAAACGCTCAACACCTGTTTCCAAATACTTTCATAGCATTAAGAATCTTCGCATGTACTTTTATTACTAACTGTTCTGCTGAACGCTCGTTCTCTGCATTGAAACGTATTAAAACTTATTTACGGTCCACTATGGAAACAGAACGTCTAAATCATTTGGCAGTTTTACATATTGAGTCCGACCTTTTAGAAACTATCAGTTACGATGAGGTAATTGATAATTTTGTGAACAAAAAAGTACGTAGAAAACCTTTATAGGTATATAAGCAAACCTTATAGTTTTGTTATTCGTTTGTTGTCATTTTATATGAATATTTTAATATTTATTTTATGTTCTGTGTTGATCTGTTCTGTCGGTCTATTCTGTTGTTGGTCCTGTATTCAAATAAATGTTTTTTATATCCGTAATTTTTTTAATTAAAAAAAAATGTTAAGGGGTGGCAATTTTTTTTTGGCCTGGGGCGGCAACTTCGTTAAGTCCGGCCCTGAATACCACGAACCAAAAAGCAACTCGGAAATGTTTATCATCTTCCAAAACGCAGGTTATTTCACAATTATAACCTATAATTTGGCAAGAGTTTGACAAGCCTCAAAAATCTTAATTCGAATCCATACCCATCTGCGTGCGTGCATCGTTTATCGTTCCGTCACTCCAATAATACTGAAATATGATCTGTCATTTTTGAAATAAACCAATAAAACTGGTTAAAAACAACAAGAGATGACGCATGACGGATTTATGTATAAACCCATCCATAGTTAACTTAAAAAATATTAGAAACTTTTTTTAGTGAAGTAAATGGACTGGTATTGACAAATACTTCTCTTGTAGTTACATTTTTTAAAAGGGGTTTAAGAAACCTTGATCTACAAGTTCTACAGACTTTAGGAAATTAAAATATGAATACTTAATTTTATTTAATAGGTATACAAACTCAAAACTCTCGCGTAGTTTATAAGGATTAATAATTCCGGGATGACTGAAGGAACCCGGAAACTCTTAAGTCACTGCGAATATACACACACAAAGGGAAGTCTTATTCCTACAAGGCGAGTTATAATAGATATATTGCAGCTATCCTAGAAGAGTGTTTATTCAAGGAGAAAGAACGGGAGTATATAGATCCTCTGGGATACTGAATAAGAAATCTAGCCGGTTTGGAAAGCGTATAGAGAACAAATTTTGAGTTTTATCTAAGAAAACACTATTCGAAAAGATGGATTTTTTACATTTTTGTTGATGATTATTAAGTTAACTCTTTTCTTTTTCTTTGCAGATGAATAGTTAATAGATTCATCTCCCAGATACTCCAGTCAGAATACAAAATGCATCATCGTACTTATTCTACTAAAATAGGTAAGATAGTATAGTTGTTAGGCATGTTATTGTACTCATGTAAATAAAATTTTAATTGAGCTTCAAGTGCTCTTCATTTCGAAAAAGCATTTTTAACGAATAATTTGGTACCCATACTTGATATTTGGAGCCAAATTATTGTTTTTTTTTCTATTTATGGCCATGGCATCTGGCCATGGCCATAATGGCGATGGCAATTTATGGCCATGGCTCTCATACGCCGCGGAGGCTCCAAGGAGAACGACAATTTGTACTGAAATGAAGGTTAATTCAGAGCACTTTTTAAAAATATAGAAAGTTCTACAGGGTGTCCTCAAAAAAGTTACATATCAAAGTTGTGTTTTTTGTAATGGAACATTCTATATATTAATTGATTTTCGGATTCTGGGAGAAAAATAAAGGTGAGTTTTATAAGAGAAGTATATGACTAAAATGTAAGGTTTTTTACATATTTACCGTTTTCTAAAAATAAAGAACAATTTTTAAATTACAATAAAAGCTAGCTAAATTGAAATTTACCCGGTATAGACTAATATGTAGTTAAATTAACTATTGTACTTTAAATAAAATTAAAACTTGATCCAAAAATTTATACAGGGTGAGACAAAATTAATATTGAACATTGGTCACCGTTAAAAGCATACTGCTCTTTTATTTTAAATGGAACACTCAGTATATTATTCCGATATTCAATGGAGAATTCATGTCCCTCCAAAATACTATTAAGGTTGCCTACCCCTCAAACAAAGATTTTCCTAGATATTTTCATTTACATGATTTGATCTGAGTAGATCTTTATTATTTAATAAAATCTAGATGGCTGTGATATGTCTCACATTCCTTCAACATAACTGTCTAATTAGTCCAACTTTAACAACTAGTTATCATTTTGTGTCAGGTAAAACACAAAAAAAATCTCAAAAATTTCCCGAAAATGCAAACTTATCGTACATCAGAGAGAATTGATATGATTCTATTAGTTGGTGAATCCAGTGTGTATTCACCAATTAAAAGAATACATAAATGCTCCTGATTTTACCTAGTCTAAGTTTTTTTTATGGGAATATGTTAAAGACAGTGTTTACAAAACTCGACCAACTATTGTCGACAACATGAGAGAAATTATTGTAGCTGCTTTTCGAGGTGGAACTCCACACCATATGCCTTTTAAAATGAAAAGATCCTTTTGAAAAGACAATAATTTTATACAGTTAACAGGAAAGGAAGCATTTTCAGCATTTGATTTCATCTAGCTAATTTTTGTCACATAGTTATAGGTAGTTTTAATTCTGTAATAATTAAAATATGTTTTAAACATGTATCTTTTTATTACCGTTGAGTATTTTACTCCACAATCTTTAATTTTTGTTAAATTAACAATAGGTATATCACGCAGCCACCTAGATTTTTTCAAATAATAAAGATCTACTGACGCAAAATTATCAAAATTAAAACATCTTGGAAAATCTTTGTCTGAGGGGTAGGCAACCTTAATAATATTTTGAAGATATTGTATAAATTCTCCATTGAACACCGGAAAAATATACTGGGTGTTCTTTTTAAAATAAAGGAGTAACTTGCTTTTAAAAGTGACTAATGTTCCATATTAATTTTGTCTCACCCTGTATAACTTTTCGGCTCAAATTTCAATTTGGATTAACATACAGTGGTTACTGTAATTAAATATCCGGCTATACAAGATCAACTAAAATTTAGGTAGATATCGAAATTTAAAATTTACTCTTCATTTTCACAAAATGTGAAATACGAGTATATCAAAATCCTCAGATTTTAGGTCTATATGCTTCTTTAATAAAACTCACCTTTATTTTTTCCTAAAATCCGAAAATCAATTAATATATAGGGTGTTCCGTTAGAAAAAGCACAACTTTCATGTGTAACTTTTTTTGGGGACACCCTGTATAATTCTATATATTTTTATAAAATGCTTTCAATTAACCTACATATGCTGCCAAAATTTCATTTCAATATAAACTACCGTTCTCCTTGGAGCTTCCGCGGCGTATGAGAGGCGTCACCCTCTATTTATTTTGTAATTAAAAATTATTATTTTGATATAATAATTATTATTTTATTATATAATCATCATTATTTTTTTTTCTTTCTGAATCTTTTTATTCAATAGCTGGTAAATTACTTTACAGTTCACACAGTGATTGAATGCCGTTCATTATGTTCTAATGATTATTGTTGGAAAAACAAGTAAAACTAAATTAGGTAATGCATTTTCTCGAAATAAACTTAGTGAGCCAGTGTTTAAAATTTCAGATGATGAAAATGGTCGCGTTTTTGTTAGACGTTAACCTTTAAGTGAGGGCTTTAGTACTAAAACAACTCCGACGCTTTTAAACACAATTAAGTTAAAATTCATTGCCATTTAGAGCTTAGACGTTACTTACCGTAGAGATGTTGGTGTTGACGTGGGAAGAAAAATATCGATACTTATACAAAGTCATAATTAGTGCTGGGCGAGGGTCAACTTTCGTTTAGCTGAAATCAGTTATTAGAAGAAAAAAAATTTTTGTCTTTAAAAAGCTACTGTGAACCACGGAAAACACAAATTTTCCTGCGGAAATGCGTACTTTCCAAATTTCGCACTTTAGAATAGCTGAAATCTGCTATAAAAAATACCTTTTGCGTTTTATTTTTAATATTTTTCTGAACATATAAACACAAAAATTTTCATGCGGAAATAAGCTGTTTTCATTTTCTAAGGAAATTTATTAGACTTTAGAATAGCTGACATCAGTTATATAAAAAATAAATATATTTTTGCCTTTTAGAAGCATTCACGAATTGAGGAAAATAAAAAATTTTCTGCGGAAATAAACTGTATCCATTTTCTGAGGAAATTTAATAGACTTTAGAATAGCTGAAATCAGTTATATAAAAAATAAATATATTTTTGCCTTTCCGTTAGCTTCTAAACTGAAAAATGTATGAAAAACAAAGTGCAAAAAATGACATTGATACAGTTTGACAAATATAGGAAGAGACTTGGGGATAGCACCGGTCCCGCACACGATAGAGAGAGAACGCATTCGGCGGAAGAGAGATGCAGTTACCCTTCGAAAAATCTGATTCAAGCAAATTTGTAGGCTGTCTACTGCGCATCGAGGGGCGTCTCTTATTTTATATTTCTTACGTCTCTAGCTATACTTTTTAAGTTTTACATTTCCGCAGGAATTTTTTTGTATTTCTATGCTCGTAAAGGCTCGTGTAAAACAAATATACAGTACGTCTGCTGGATCTGTGTCTATGAAAGGAATGCGGACAAAAAACATTTAAATAAACAGCAATATATTTTATACGTCGACTTGACGAGTACGTCACCACAAATCGCTCCGCCCACTCATTTTATTGGCTACTCGCAAATTTGTCGAATTTTTATTGATGGGACGCGTCGTCTAATTTTTTACGAAAAACATGGAGAGAATATAGTTTCCCCTCTCACGGATACCCCGTAGCTACAGAACGGACTGACGTACTGTAAGTTCATTTTTCATGTAACTGATTTCGGCTATTCTAAAGTCAAAGCATTGTTTTATGTAAAATGAAAATAAAAAATTTCCGCAGACACTTTTTTGTGTTTTTATGTTCAGAAAAATGTGTAAAACACACCCCGAAGACTAGTTTTGATGTAACAGATTTCGGCTATACTAAAGTGTCCGAAAAATGAAAATGACGGTGGTATGGTATACTTTTTTAATCAACTTGTGATATAAATGTTTTATGAACATCTCCTAAAATTATAATTACGTACCTTTAAAAAATTTCGTTATAGCCAAAATAGCCCCAATTATGCCCCACTAGCAAAACCGGTGATTAAAACTATGCTCGCTACCGTAGTTGAACTCATCTAAAAAGTTTTTTTAACCGGAATAATAAATTATAATACAATTTAGACCTTCTGAAGATATCAAAATATTTACTTTTTTATTTTTAGAATTTTCACACATTATACTTACTAACAATTTTAGAATAATTAAATAATAAATTTTTCGTATACTCGCTATTTAAACCCGTGTATTTGTATATATTAGTTGTTTACGATATTCTCCGATGGTGGCAGCACCGGCGGAGAATGCACCAAGCTTAGACAAGGAAAGAGAGGGGACGGCTAACACGCATATTCTCCCGTGATCGGTTAGTGAGGCCAAAATTCGATCAGCGGCCATACTTTGGTGACAAGATTTCGAGGTGACACCGAGAGAATTTTTATGTTTTTTGTGACAACTGTTTTGTTTTAAATTTATAAACTGTATTGTTTAGTATGGTGAGATGTTCAGCGTATGGCTGCAAAGGCCGAAACGAGAAAAAAGTGGCTGGAATTACATTTCACAGGTAAAAATCGATACACAACTTTTGTTATGTGGTCATAAAATGTAACTTTTTTCATTATAGCAGTAAAAATATGTAAAATGCTTTTAATATGTTTTGTACCACATCCAAACCAAACTATTTTTAATAATTCCAAGTAGTATTTTCAATATCCTTTATTATAATTAATGTTTGAAACTATAAATAATGCTACTCAGCATGGATTTCTCCAGTGGCGTAGGGAATTATAATCAGAAATACAATTTCTGCAATAAACTTTTTTTATATATTTTACATGTAAAAAAATGTATAAAGTATTGTTATCAAATATGTAAAATAATTGTAAACTATAAAAAAAAATTAAAAATTCTAGTGATAAAAAATCTATATGTATAGTTGTTATATAGAACTTAAATGTACCTGCCAAGATTTTACCACAATTTAGGTGTATAATAATAGTCTCAGTGAGTAATTAATAAAAATTTAAAAATAAATAAAATAACACAAAGCTTCTAGAATTGTTTATTTTTTTGTGGAAAATTAGAATATTCTTATGATTGGAGGAACAAATATTAAAAATTACATTATTCATTGAATCCGTACGCAAGTGTGAAGGGGAATGGCTAGATTCATTATTATACCGTATGGTCGAAAAAAAA